CCCCCCCCGATTATCCTCATCATAATCAAAACATAATGAAGACCAGGAGAGAAGGAGGTGGGAGCAACTCGGCTGCAATGGGTACCTCTCACCTCTTGGCATGATGAGCCCCCTCCTCACCACACAGTTGCTTGTTGGTCGGCCTCTGCACCTCAGGCAGTTTGGGGACAGACACTGGAGGCAGGGTCGAGATGCAGAAATAGTTTTCCATGAAGTTTTTGCCCTTGCAGCACTCGGCAAATCTTTGGTCTCGGGCTGACAGCGCACCGCAAGCTTTGGCCACATGCTCCGACAGCTGCCAAACGGAGAGCAGAGGGGTGTGTGGAGTGTCCTGCCAGGGCTGGCACAGCACACCCCCTCCCCAGGTTCACTCCTGAAGCCTGCTGTGACTGGGGAGAAGGTTCTGGGGCAGGCTCCTGGCTCCCCTACCTTCCTCTGCATGCAGTCCTCAGCTGTCGAGTCACAGCACTGGGAAAACACCTCGGCGGCACCTTCTGCCAGGGGGAAGAGGTCCTCGAAGGAAGCACCAGGCATCTTCTGAGCCAGTGAGGTGAGGTAGCTGGGGTGACACAAGGCACATGGGGCTGAGGGAGCTCAGCTTCCCCCACCCCTCCTTAAGGAGGGAGCTCCTTAACAGCTCCAAGCAGAGGTTTTGCCAGGTCGAGGTGGGGGAGGGAGAAGATGGGCAGCTACAGAGTTCACTCTGCACAGAGCATCGCATGGGATGCTGCAGCACACTTGGTTTGACACCTGAATTAAAATGTGCCTTTGTGAACACTGCTTGTGAACAGGATCCACAGCTTGAAACAGGAATGTGCTCCTAGCCTGACCTGAGTTCAGGAAAAGGCCTTTGTCTCCTTTTACCTGAGAGTGACCATGTCCTTTCCATGTGCCATGAAGCGGGAGCAAACCCGGTTGGACATCAGGGTGAGGAGGGAGAGGGTTTTCCCTTCCAGTTTCTGCCACAAAAAGATGGGGGTGTCCTTCGAGGGAAATGTCAGCCTTTCCCAGCCTGTCTCCTCAGGACATGGACACAGTGCTTGCCCAGCTCCCCAGGGAATGAGAATGGGGGAGAGCCGAGCCATCCAAAGGGCCTCACCTCCTTCAGGAAGCAAGAGGTGGGTGTCAGGGAGATGCAGCAGGTGGAGACCATGGAGAGGAAGCGCCTGGTGGAGCCCAGGAGCACGGGCAAAGGAGCCTCACCGTAGCTGCTGGCGTATTCATGCAGAAACCTGTAGCAGAGGCAGGTGGAGACCTGGCACCCCAGGATCGGGCACTCAGGTGCAGGAGATACGGGATTTGGGAGGAGTTAGGGCTGCCTGGGGGTGAGAGATGTCGCAAGCCAGTACTGGGGAGGCTACCTCTCCAGGTACCACCCGATGCTGCTGGCGTATTGCACCAAGCCATCAAGCAGGCTGGTGCCCCCTCTCCAGCCACTTGCACTAGCGATGGCACCCCTCATCCCTTTGGTAAAGGTAAAAGGTTCCTGGGGTTTGTGCATATGCAGGACACTGTGACCTTTTCCTTTGAGGCCATCAGTAGTCCCACGGCCACCAAGAGCCATGGCAGTGATGGCAGAGGGGTGAGACTGGGAGAGGTTTGCTTGGTGGCCACCCAGATGTTGGTGAGACGGTGTCGCCAGCCCAGCTGACCTGTCTGCAAAGTCCTTGGGGTCCTTCTTGAAGGCCTGGCAGAGCTCTTCATTGGAGGGCTGGAGATAGCGGGGCAGCTGCTGGGGCGGGTGCCTCAGGGCGGCTAGGCACAGCTTCTGCTCCAGCCCCTCCTGTGTGCAGCAGCCTGGCGTGCCGGGGTGAGGCGGGAAGGGAGAGTCGCTCCTGCAGGATTTGGCTGACAGGGCTGAGGACTACGGGAGGGAGAGGAGGTTATGTGCCAAGTAGGGGGGACACCAGCCCATCCCATCCCCAGGTTTGGGGCTGGTTTCCCTCAGCCTCACCCCGGCATCGTAGCAGGAGGGGTCGGCACCTGCAGCACAGCAGGTTTCAGCCAGGGAGACGATTTCGCGGATGAGGTGGTTGATCTCCTCAAAGGTGGCATTGGAATATTTCCTGCTGTTGGCAATGAGGGTCCTGGGAGCAAAGGAGAGGATGAGCTGGTGGCATGTTTCTCTTAAGAAAAAAGAGGTCACACTGCAACATTGTTGTACCAGAAGAGGATTTAACATGGTCAGCCCAGGAGGAGCAGCTGCAACACTGTGAGGAATGTTCCTTGGAAAAGAAGCTAGGAAAGACCCAGAGCAGGTGTTGGGCTGGGGGCTGCCCTTTCCAGGGGATAAAGCAAACTTTTCTCCTGTTTAGAGCAATCAGTTGCATGTAGTTAATAAAGATTTTAAGATTATTTTATTTTCTCTTTTTTTTTCTTCTTTTTTTTTTTCTTTCTTTCTTTTTTTTTTTTTTTTTTTTTTTTTTTTTTTTTTTTTTTTTTTTTTTTTTTTTTGGGGGGACAAAAGTTTCTG